CTCAGTATGACTTTCCAACGTTCATAAAAGACAATGTAGCTTCTGCCTGGCTTGATGGAACACTTGCACTTAGAGTCTTGAGCTTCCAAGGAAGATGTCTACCTTGGGTCTGGCATGATGTGAGGAAACCAAGCCACTTGCAGGGTCCACGTGTTGGTGCTCCAGTTACCATTACTGATATTAGATTCCTCCCAGTCCAGATATCAGACATGTGAATTAACAAGTCTTTGAATGATCACTGCCCCCCACATTAAATTATCCCTGGTCTCTGAGCCTTCCTAGCTGAAGCTCCAGACATCATGGAGCAGAGACAAATTATTCCTGCTGTGCTTTTTGCAAATTTCTGACCAACAGAGTCCATGGGTATTAATACAATAAAATAAATAAGCCACTAAGTTTTAGGGTAATTTATTACACACAAATGAATGGTAAGTGGAACAGTTCTTCACCTCACTTTATATTTGTTATGAGCTGCCACACAACATAAACCTGAGTTATGATAGAGTAGCCCTTGTACCTCTAAGATTATCTTTCTTTTGGGGTTTGACTTACCAGAAGTTCTTTTGGTAAGTAAAGCAGGTGTTTACAAGGACTCCAATAAGCCTCCTATTATATTGTTGAAATTGTTCATGGGATAATAATAACTTTGGTTTTAAAAAAATGTTCTTAAAGAGTGACATATGTTTCCTCTATGCCTGTATGGATTACAATCACAGCTTTTATGAAGTAACCTTGACATGAGCTACAATTTAGGAGATGCACTGACAAATTGCACATTAACAAATAAACAAATAAATAAACCAAGCCATCCTTGGCTCTGTCTAAATTCATGAGAGCAGGAAATGGAGGGACCTGTGACTCAGAAGCCTAAGGGTTCTGTTAATATCTATGTGTCCTTATACAATTAGCGTACCTCTCTCAGCTCCAGTTTTACTTGTAAAATAGGAGCATTGGACGAGGAAACCTTCCAACTTTGATTTTGGGAAACAAATTATTATATTGACTGTGATAGGCTGAATAATGTTCTGACCCCCCAAAGATGTCCATGAGTTAATCCTTGGAACCTGTGAATATGTTACCTTAGACAGTAAAAGGCACTTTGCTGATGTGATTAAATCAAGGATATCGAGATGGGGAGATCATCCTGAATTTGTTCACTGGGTCCAGTGTAATCACAAGTGTCTTTATAAGGGACAGAGGAACACAGGAGAGTCAGAGTCAGAGTAAAAAAGACATGAGGATGGTCAAGGAGGAGAGTTGGCTATGCTGCTGGCTTTGAACATGGAGGACGGGGTCAGGAGCCAAGGAATTCAGGCAGGCTTCTAGAAGTTGGGGAAGGAAAGGGACCAGATTCTCCCCTCAAGCTCTAGAAGGAACACACAGCCCTGAGGTCCCATTTTCGACTTCTGACCTCTAGAACTGCAAAAGAATAAATTTGTGCTGTTTTAAGTCACTAAATTCAAGTGGCAATAGGAAACAAATGCAGTAGTTAAGAACTTGGGCCTGCTATCAGACCACTAAAAAATAAGCCTCCATTTTTACATTTTGTGGATATATGACCTTGGGCAATTTATTTAAAGTCAGTTTCATCTTGGAAAAATGGGATGATGGTAACAGCACCAAACTTGCAGGGTTGTTATGAGGCTTAAAAGAGGAAATCCTCAGAATCACTTTGAATTTATTTGTTTTATAATAAATATTTTCCAGTAATATATCAGACAGTGTTTCACTGCTATTCATAAGGTTTTCAGTGGCCAGTTATTTCAGAAGTAGATAGCCGGTCCTTCCCAGTCTGTCTTAATCTGGAAGCTCTGTCGAAACCTGTTTGCCACTGGTGATCTTGCTGGCATTTGAAATACCAGTGGCATAGCCTCCAGCCTCATAGCAAAATGCAAGCCAGCACAGTACAACAAACTGACAGACAAGTGGTAATACATGTAGCCATTGTTCTTCTGCTAAGGTTTGTCACTTAAGATATGCATCCTCTCTACCATAAATCATACCTTCCTTCTTAAATAATCATGGAAAAGGAGGGTTGTAGGAGCGTCTGCTTTAGGAGGTGTGCATATAGAATCGCATTTGACCCTATTCATGGAATAGGTGTATGTTTTCACACGCGAAAACTGAGACTTTCACCTAGTCACACAGCTAGTAAGTGGCCAAATTAATGTGGCTGGTTTACCATTGCATTAACTACACCTATTTGCTTCATGATGAATGAATGAAAGAACACATGCAAATAACTACAGGAGTGAACCTCAACCAGTCATAGGGCGTCCAGACTGACTGAAACTAGGTCTTCCCATCTGATTCACACCCTGGCCCAGTATCCAGCTCTGTAGCACCTATTCTTTGTTTCCAGAAAAAGGGAGGTAGCGAGGAAGAGGTGCCTGGACCAATGGCATCATTAGGCTTGGTGTTACCTACTGTGGTAACTCAGAGTGTCATGCCCCCCTCCCATGGACCTCCTGCCAGACCAGACCATAAAGAAACCTTAGAGATGCTTATCCATTATAATCATAGAGTAATATGTGATATAGTTGTAAATTGCCGATGTGTAATATTTCTTAGACCACATAACTACTAACAAAATTGTTTTATAAGCTCTTCCTTCATTGAATTATATTAGTTACATTATTAGTAACTGGGAGCTCTGGTAGCCTAGTGCCTAAGGCATTTGACTGCTAACCAGAAGGCTGGCAACAAAATTGTTTTATAAACTCTTCCTTCATTGAATTGTATTAGTTACATTATTAGTAACTAAGCAGGAGCCAATTTTCCCCTCCTTCTCCCTTTAATTACTACTTCATTCTCATAAAAGTTATTGGTATGTTGTTGTTGTTACATGCCGTGGAGTCAGAACTGACTCATAGTTGGGTTTCCGAGGCAGTAATCACTACGGAAGTAGATTGCCCCATCTTTCTTCTGAGGAGTGGCTAGTGGGTTTGAACTGCCAGCCTTCTGGTTAGCAGTCAAGTGCCTTAGCCACTATGCTACCAGAGCTATAGGTTCACAAATACTAATTACTACAATATTCTAGCTAAAAGACTAGAAAATTTGACAAAATCAGCGAGTATAAAACCACCAGCAGCAAGAAGACAGCAGCCTATGCAGATGGAAGTCAGTGATTTTAAGTGTCATTGTAATTAAGAATGACAGCTCTGACTAGAGCTCGTTGGAAGGTTCAAAAAGGAAATTAGTATACCGTTTTAGTCTTGTATATATATTTATACATGTAAATGTATGAAAAATGTTTATGGGCTTATGAAAAATAAATTTGTTCCTATAACTAACTTAAGAAGTTGTTCTAAAAAATAAATTTCTGCTGAACACTGCACAAAAATTTTATAGACAGTCATTTCGGTGTCACCTTCTTTGACAGTGCCACCTGGTGCTCTCAGCACCCCCAGAGCTCCCCTAGTGAGGCATTATATTCAGAGAGGCGCCTCCCACCGCCCCTGCCGCCTCCCAGCAATCAAGCTCTTCTAAGAATGGGGCACCACCACGACACAAAGGCGAGGCCTTCGTGAGGACAGGCCTTGGGACATAAGTGGGGCGGGGCCTCCCCAGAGGCCAGTGCGCGGCTGCAGAGCTCAGCCAGCTAGTTGCTCCGCCCCGGGCAAGATTCGGCACCACCATGGAGGAGTACCATCGGCACTGCGATGAGGTACCGCCCCTCGGCCATCAGAGAGCGACCCCCGCCCCCACCCCACCCCACTCCCGGAGCGGGGTCTCTGCTGGCTGATCTGGCGCGGGGCGTCCGGGAGAGTTGGAGTGCGGCGTCCTCCAAGCCAGCTTCTTTCCTCGGGAATGGGTATCCCTCCCCCTAATCCCAGTCCCCTTGACCTCGCGCCCCTGAGAGTGGGTTGGGGGCCTGGGTGGCCATGGCATCCAGAAGCACTAGCAGGTGGTGGGCCCGGGATCGAAAGGTGGGAGGCCTGATTTGGGGTGCGTGGTGTGAGGATGAATGGCGGGCACCGCCCGTCTACTGGGCGGGCGGGCAGGCGGGCCTTGGAAACCGGTCTTCCTGGCTGCTTCCTCCGCCCTTTGGTGTCCCCAAAGCAGCTGCTGCAGCCTGGAGGCTCTGGGCACTGGTGGCAGAGCCACTCCCATTCCTGAGAGCTCTCACCTGGGTGGGCTGGAAAGACATGTTTTATGGATTATGAACCCTTGCTTGCTGACTCTGGCTTCCCTAATCCTCCCCAGAACCCCATGATGCCAGCTGTTATCTTCCTGTTACTGATGGGGACTCTGACTTTCATGGTGGCTTAGTGACTTGCCCATAATTAAAACTGCCAGGAGTATCAGATGCTTGATTTGAATCCAGGCCTCTAACTACACATCCCAGGGTTCATTTTAACCACTGTAGGGATGAGGCCTATTGGATCCCAGTATAACCTGTGACAGGCCTGCAAGGTCAGCATAATCAGAGGCATGTTCTGTCTAGTGGAAGCCACAAGTGAATGGTGCAGAAAAAAAGGGGGGGGGGCAAGTTGATTAGACCCATGGAGGGGGGCTTCTGGTCCAGTGGATAGCATCTTCAGGATGTGGGTTTCTATAGTAATTA